GTAGGGAAACTGGTAATTCAAATAATGGAATTAGAAGAAAAATTCCTATACAGTTACCTCTGTTCTGTGAATGGAGAGAAAAAGGAGGGAAGAGAAATAGGAATAAATATTCTGACCTGCTCATCTGTTGCCCAAATGAGGTCTTTGCACAGTTGCTAGTGATGCGCTGGAATAAGCATAGAGAAGGATATAATATGGCACTGATCAGTAGGGTGCTGAGTTCCTCTGACTCAGTGGCTGGTGGTGCATTACAGAAAGCCACGTATAGTTATACCAATGTGTTGCAGGTTCCTCAAGACAGGGAACTCATGCTGTGTGAAGCTGTCAAATGGGAGAAAAATTATTGTACATTTGACTTTCTTCTCCCTGATTTTGAGCTACAAAATGCTTTTGAGCGAGAGAAGGGATTTGCTAACCAAGGAATCTCCCTGCTCTTCTAGGTTGCCTTTTTTCTTTACAATGGAGTGGTATTAGACAGATTTGTGCTGCAAGTCACCCATCCCTCATACCTGAAGAATGCATTGCTTTACCATCCTCAGCTCCGTGCTCAGGCTTGGAGGTACCTAACCTACATATTCATGCATGCAGGGTGAGTATTACAAACTGCAGAGATTTGCTACAGTTCAAGTTTCCCAGAAAGGGAGGAGGATGCTCAGAAATACGTTTTTAAAAATCAATTCTAAATTGTGTATAAAAATCTGAAGCTGTTGTGGAGTGTTGGGCAATGAGGGGCAAAGCTTTGCAGCTCTCTGAAGGGAGAAGGCAACATAAGGAACTTAATAGATGCTGCTCTTCTCCCCAGCAGTGTTGGGACCACACTTTCCTCTTATTGTGCGCTTCCCAGTGTGTGATTCCTAAAATTCACCAGATCGAAGCCCAGCATCCCTCTAGAGGAGTTGTGCAAGTGGTAGAATAAGTCCGCAAAGATGCTGGACTGCTCTTTAGAAACTGCGTGACGTATTCTTGCTAGACTTCCTAGCTGAGGTTGGAAAAGTCAATTAAATTCCCTGTGCCTATAGTATGTCATCACTTAATGTTGTCCCTTCTGTAGGGACTGAGATAATGCCTAGAAGCCTGAGTCAAGATTGAACTCCTATTTTGTACGCACTGTACAAAAAACAGTGTTCCTGAAGAGTTGACAATCTCGACTGACCAGATGGACAGAGAATGGTCCATCTAATGCAAAATGAAGGTGCACAGTAAAATGAATCCTCCTTCATCCTATGGGAGGTATGTAGCAGACTTGGGAAGAGAATACAAGGTGTGGGGGTTCTAACTCTGTGCTTCTCGACTGTGCTAGTCCTCCCAAGATTCAAAGAGAATTAATTGTGTGATGTTTGTGATGCCATGGTGATGAGTGAGTGTCACAGGAAAGTTCATCTCTGTACAAAACACTCTACCCCCTCTGAGTAGTTTCTCAGATCATTATCTTCACACATTCCTGGCAGATAATTGCAATTTTCTTTAATTCTGTCATTGAAAAATCACAGCAACAAGATTTTTAGCAGTAGTTTATAGTTTGAAACTGGATAAAGACCCTTTGTTCTTAAATAGAATGCCTATATTCCCATCAGTCAATGTTCTTCTATGAAAGGCCAGAAAGATCAAGCTGATCTTTTCCTTTTTCCATGTCTCTGATGGAAGACATGCTGATGTCTCTTCTCTGCCATGGAATAACTGCTTCGGTGTGTAATTGCCCTGGAGCATAAGATGTCCCCTAGATCTCAGGCTAAAAACCATAGGACAGAACAGACTCCACCCAAGGGGAGAGTAGGAAAAAAATTATAGATGAAACCTCTGAATGTAGCAACATCTGTACTCTGCATGCTAAATCCTTCCAAAAAGTCTATTGTAGACAGGTTTCAGTCTGCAAGTGGAGACTATTGAGCTTAGATGCAAGGGTGGTTATGTAAAATGAGAATTGGAAGTTTCCATTGCTGAGGATGTGGGGCAAACTGGGCTTGTAAAAGGAAGAAACACTTGATTTTAACTGATGTTAGCTAATTTGTATCTGGGTTTTCTTCTGGTGGTGGTGGTGTTCTACTATATCACTTATGTAACCACAGATTGCTTTGGGATACATTTGAAGAGAAGCACCTGCACAAGGACAATTTTTGCAGCATCTAAATGTCTTCCAGTATCAGCTGTGGCATGCTTTTCTAACCTGTGCAAGGTCACTATTTCCTGTAGCAGGCAGTACTTTGGCTTTCTTCTCACTGGCTGAAAAATATCTCAGGCTTATTTCACATCTGTGGCTGGCTCAGAGATGAACAGTGGGGAAGGTGGTGTGCAGAAGACTCATTTTTCGTGATGGATTCTAAGTTCTTTAGCTATGTAGCCTTGAAAACAATGGAGAGTCCTGCTGGAACAACAAACACCATGATTTATCTGCAGTATCTGGAGTGAGGCTAAATGTTCATTTATTGCTAACTTCTGTGTGTTAAGCTCCTTTCATATCAGGAGAACAGATAAATCTTGGAAAGGTAATAACGTTTGTTAGTGGAAGCCCATCATTCTCCTCTCGTTTTCAAATGAGAGGCTAACACAATGCCTTGAGGTCTATTGTTATCCTGCTTCCAGCTGAGACTTTAAAATGGTAATGTGGACTGCTCCTTAATTTAGTGCACTCAGTCTGGGTTTTTTTTGAAGAGCAAGTGACAGGCGGAAGGTGTCTGAGAAGACAGCAGTTGCTAAGGCTTGGCTGGCTGTGCCTCTAGAAAGATTCCAAAAATGCACGGGTTGTGTGTTGGTCCTGGTGGAGGGAGCTTTGTCAAGAGCTGAAAAGGCAGGCAAAGTTGTAAATTCTGCCCTTCTGCTTTCATGGAAAGCAGATGTTGATTATCTGGGGCCCACACATTTGTAACACTGCCATAACTAATGACTTGCATTGATGCTCAGTGCCATTCGTTTGGTCCCGGAGAGGGAGAAAGTCTTTAATAAATCAATGAAATTGTCATTTCAAGAATGACGCATTCAGCACTGGCAAAGGCTAATTATATTTTATGGGTGCTTATTGACTGTGGAGCCTTCAAAGTTCTTAGCATGATGGCGAGGAGAAGTGAATGGGATTGCTCCTGGAAAGTCTTTTAAGAACAGCTGTGAATTAGGGCAGTCACTTTAGAGTCTAGGATAAACTTTGCTGAGCTCTTACAAAAGCTTCCTTTGAAAAATAAGACCCAGCGCTTTGTCTGAAAATGTCAGGTGCCACCTCATGACGTTGACTGTGTGCCAGCCAAAGCTTCTTCCCTCCCCTCTGTAAAAGGGCAGTTGGATGCTTTGACTCTTTTCTGTGATCTCAGTTCGACCTTTGCTGGTTGTTCCTAATTTAGTTCCTAAGTTCTGTGAACATGCAGGATCAGAACGGGTGCCAGAATATGCCCGTGCCCAGTGGCTCCAAAAGTCTTGAGCAAGGTAATAAAAACACTCAGTTACATGCAACAATTTCCCATGATGACAAATTGCAATGCTGAGTGTCTTGTGCAGGAGAGAAATTTATCCTTGGAGAGAAATTCGATGGAAACAAACCTATTAAGATATCCGGAAAGGACTGTTTCCTGCAGTATCATTTCTAGCAGTTTTTTCCGGTCCAACTTTAAATTCTCATTTATGAGACTGTTCTGTCATTACCGCATCTCACCATCAGCGTTTTTCTCTGATGTATATAGGAAATTGCTATGGTAACATGAAGAAAGACCAAAACAGTGAAAATGCATGTAACTTAAACCAAAGATTGCTAGTGGCTGTCTGCGAGCAATCCTTTTCTTGTATAAAATAGGACATAGATTTTCAATGCATTAGCTGTTTTGCGCTCTTTCCCCCAAAAGATGGTAGCCTTCTGTGGTAAGGGTACCACAGTGTCATCTAGGTCCACCTGCTTTGTAAGCAGATTCGGGCACTCTTCATACAGACAGCACTGTACCCCTGGGTCCAGTGTGATGTGGCCGTTCGGCAAAGTCACAGCCCTGTGAGCCCAGGGTAAATCTCAGACGCTAGCACAGTGTTGAGAGGGACCCTGTTCAGGGGCCTGCTGCTGTTGTTACATCACTGGAAGATCCTGCAGATGGCAAAGGCATGGGTAAATATTTGTCTAGAGCTTTGAAAAGTAGCAAGACAGTTCTGTTAAGTACTATTGGTTAGAACAACAAAGAATTTGCTTTGACATTATTGATTCAGCACAGGAGAAAACTCCTGCACTAGAGTCTTTATCAAATATGCACATCTTGGCTGTCACACTCCCTACCTCTAGGCTGCAAGTGGTCCTGCATGTTCTGGTGTGCGCAGCAGGGTTTTCTACAAGACTAGTCTCAGCCCAGATTTTCCCATTCTGTTCAGCAGGAGTTTTGCTATTGACTGTAATGGGAACAAGGGTAGGTGAACAGAGAGCTTCAGTGAATACACCTTGTGTCTCACTGGGCACCTAACCAGAGATAAAAATGACCTCTGCTTCCCATTCTGACCATGATCGCATTGAAGCAGGCACAGCAGAAAAGGGTGAGGGTCAGATAGCACAAGCAGTAAAGCGGCATTATGTGTCACAAGGAAACAGCAGCCGTCTTGGGACTGCTAGGCTTGCCTTGCTCTGGACTTGATATCTGCTCCCCATCATGGCAGTGTAATATATGCAGGGAAAGGCTGTATCATTAGGAGGGGAGAAGAGAGAGCAGGTCAAGTTTCTGTCTTCTGTTCCAGGCTCTGCTGCCATCTTGCTGCTTTTTTGGACAAGTCATTTAACTTCTTCAAACAAAAACAAAGTCTCACTAAGAACCGAGCAGGCTATGATGTCTTTGGCTGAAAGGACCTGGGTGGATATGAAAAAGATAATGAGCAGCAAGGAGGGAAGAAACATCACAGCTCTCAGTCTGATTTTTTTCAGGAACCATTGGTTTTCCCCAGTGTTACAATCTACTTTCATGAAGCAGGTGCTATTTGATTTCCTTTCCAAGATATCTCTGTCTCATGGGTAGAGAAGGGAGACAGAGAGTTAGGAAAGAGGACAACTGTTGTTTTTCCTTGCCGCAGGATAGAACACCTTGGACTCAATGTTGTCCTTCAGCTCTTGGTTGGGGTTCCCCTGGAAATGGTGCATGGAGCTGCGAGGATCAGTTTTGTGTACGTTGCTGGAGTTGTGGCAGGTAGGTGACATCTCTGGATGCCCCAGATGGAGAAGCATCTGAAAATGGTCTGTGCCGACTTTTGTGTAGGAGAAATGTTTTGTGACGTTTGGGTGTAGGAGAAGAGCAGTCACTGATCTTCTGAGAGATTAAATTCTTTTGGAGGCTTGAAGTGGGAAATATGCTACAACTTGACATCTGTTTCTAACTAGCCATAGGCTCTGTGTTTAGGAGACCTGCTAAAAAAGCACCAACAACTTGTTACTTTAAAATAGGCTTGCTTTAGATGGTCTTCCTGAATGTGGAGGTCATACTGTTCCTTTCCTCGTGTCCCACAGAGGCCTAGAAGAAAGATGGCATTACAGGCATCCCTGCATGAAAAGTCTTTTTTTTTTTTTTTTTTTTTTTTTTCCCCAGGTCCTGTGCCAGTTCTTCCCCCACTTGTCCTGTGCTGTCTGCTTTCTACAGCCTAAGTAAGCAAGAAATATTTGGTTGTAGGTTGTGAGCAGTGCACAGGAATCTGGAAATTCATTTAGTCATGAAGCTATGGGGTTTGATTGATTTTTTTAGTTTATGCTGTATTGCTTTTATTTATGTTTGGCATTTCCAGCAGTTTGGAGGTGATGGAAGTTAGCTGACAATAGATCAACATCTAATTAAAACAGGAGAGTGTGAGAACAGCCAAGGGCTTCACAGTGGAACTCAGGCAGTCAATCGTTGTCTGAGTTCAAGATTTATGGTGATTTTTTTTTTTCCCCAGCTATATAATTTTATTTTTTCCATAATGAGCAGATAAAGCCCTTGTAAAATGGGCTGCATTGGGTACTAATAAATCCTATGTTCCAGGAGAGAGACTGTGGAAAGAATAATTGTACTAGGACGCAGGACTAGGCATGGTACAAACACCACGCTATTTAATGCAGAGAAAGGAGTTAGCAGATGAGCTCCACCGTCCCCTGCCTGTTATTTTAATAAGCACTAAAGTAGTCCCCACCCTGCAACTTTCCAGGCATAAGCTTTTCTACATTGATCCATGTAGCAAACCCTGGGGCTTCATTTATATATGTGTAAATACACATAGCACATCTATGCCAGGTAAGCGAAGCAAGTTAGCACTGAATCTGCTGCGACTGAGCTCAGGTGAGCACTGCAAGTTGCTGGCTGCCTCTCAGATTCCTGTGGCTGTGGGCTTGCCGGCAGGGTCCACAGGGCTGGGGGCAGGTTTTACTGGGCATTGGGGTGGGGTGAACACCCAGACCTCTGGAGGCTTGTAGCCAGTGCCTGAGTGAGGCTCACTAGCCCACCTAGCATTATTGCTTCATTTCTGCTATACAGATGATCCCATTTTTTTTCTCAGACAAGCCGCCACATCCTCATAGAGTCACCTTTCACATCTTATGAGCTATAAATTGTGGAAGAAATTGCCAAATGGAAAGGGAAAACTTCCCTTAGTGCAGGAGGGAACTACAAATGTGACCGGACGGTCCCACGCAGAAAAGCATCCCATGATACCCTTACTTGTTTGAGTTGTTAGCCAATTATTAAACACGCTTTATTCTTTGGCATGTGCCAGGAGAGAGAGAAAGAGGCATACTTATGCTGAGGATCTGGCAATATAAAGATAACACAGCTCCTAAACAATCAGGAATAAACAGTAAAATGTAGACACGGGCCACAATGGACACTGGCTACTTTATGGGGTTTTTTCTCATTTGTCTGGCTTTACGAAGAAGACATGTTGAGACTGAGATTGAGACGCTGAAGGTATGGTTAGTGCAGTGTCTGAAGACTTAACTGCAAGTTCTCATTACTCCTTTCTTAACTTCTCATTAACTTTTTCCTTAATGGCAACGTTTAAGAGCTGAGAAGTCTCAGGGCCATACAGTGAAGGAGGGAGCTATCAGCAGAGTTGGCTGGTGGAACCTCAGCACTTTCTTGACCCAGAATCAGCTGAGCAATTAGCAAAGAAGTTTGTTAGATTCTGTGCTACTAAGGACTCTTTCAAGATTTGCCATTGTGTCTTTTTCCCATTCCCGCTCATCACAAAGATCTTCATTATCCCTGCCTTGTGACACCCAGTCTGCCTTTGTTTCTCTATCTCTTAAATTACTCTTAAAGTTTGCAATGAAAGGAGCTTTGAGCAGATCTAAGCCTCCAATTGGGATAAGGAGAAGCAGTGTCTATGTTTGGATGTATTGTTATTAGTGGTGCCTTTATGTGATTGACCTGTCATTTTGCCATCTTGTGTTTACTGTCTCCACCCAGGTTATGTTTAGCTAGTTTTACTCTGAAGTTTTATAAGCAACAGGCTGTGCTTTGATCAGAGGCCTGTGCTAAGTTACAAGTCCCTGGCTCCTTCTCACTGTGCAAATATTTGTCTTGCCAGCATGGGAGCTACTTCTATTTTACCTTAAGGTGAGGAACAAGACACAGATATTTGTCTGTGTCCTGGTTCCATTTTATTTTAATCAGGGTGTAAGTGCCTTTCTATGGCATAGGTTTGAAGATATGTTGCTGCCTTGCTTGTCTGCTTTTAAAGTAGGTGCAAAAGAATCAATCGGTCAGTGTCTTGATAGTACTACAGGACTAAGTTGGCTTCACAAGTCAATTGATTTCCCCCCCCTTCTCTTTATCTGTATGTTACTGACCTGTAGCAATTAGCACAAAACAGGCAGTACCAGGGATGTAGGGTAGGGGAGAGTGTGTTTATTTGGCTGGCAGTTGTCACAAACCCTTGTTCTTTCTTCCAGGGTCCCTGGCAGTGTCAGTAGCCGATATGACTGCGCCTGTGGTGGGTTCCTCTGGAGGTGTGTATGCTCTTGTCTCAGCTCACTTGGCGAATATAGTCATGGTGAGTACCAGAATGACTGTCTAACCTCTTTGGAAGTGAGCCAGGTCTGGTGGCCCAAAGGGATTGGAAATAGGGCCTGAGCCAGCTGTTGGTCATTCAAAGCTTTCCTCGGTCTTGTCTCAGTGGTGTGGTCCTGGAATAGAAATGTAACACTGCAGTTGGTGGCTTGGTATCCTGATGACTGGCAGCTTGCCAGGAGAAGCCAAAGATGCTGGTAATCCAAGACTTGGTGTACTCCAGGCTATCAGCTCTCCTTTCAAAGGCTGACAGATGTTTCGAAAAGAAGCAGCTGACTGGCTCTGCGGAAGTTGCAGACCTGTTTCTGTCTGCATGTGCCATGTAACGTTAGAGGCTACCTAAGGAAATTTAGTATTCAGTGGATTTGTGTGCAGAATATCCCTTAACTCCGTTTGTAAAACCCAGACTGAAGCTGAACCCTGGGCGTACTAGTGATGCATCTTTTTGCCATTTTACCTAATGAAGTTGTCCTGGTTTTGGCTGGAATAGAGTTAATTTTCTTCCCAGTAGCTGGCATAGTGCTGTGTTTTGGATTTAGCATGAGAATAATGCTGATAACACACTGATGGTTTAGTTGTTGCTAAGTAGTGCTTACACTACTCAAGGCCTTTTCAGCTTCCCATGCTCTGCCAGGTGCACAAGAAGCTGGGAGGGGACACAGCCAAGGAAGTTGATCCAAACTGGCCCAAGGGCTATTCCATACCATATGGCATCATGCGCAGTATAGAAACTGGGGGGAGCTGGTGGGGAGGCAGCGATTACTCAGGGATCAGGGACAGGCTGGGTATCGGTCAGCAGGTGGTGAGTGGTTGCATCACTTATTTGTTTTTTTTCCCCCCCTGGGTTTTGTTTTTCTCTCTCTCTCATTGTTCTCCTTTTCATCATCATCATCATCA